GCACACCCAGTCTAGGAAATTAGCAAGTATGCCTCAAAATAAATAAAAACTACTTGTGGGCATATATATAGCATATATATGATAGATATACATGCAAACACTAGCATATATTTTATACATTGATCTATATGCAAATGTGTGTACATATAGATATAGCATAATTGCATGCCTAATATGTACACTGTATACCCTATGTACATTTATATGTAAGTTTATTGTTCACAAATAACAGATACATTTATTATTTTAAAAGAAAGTTTGCTTGGGACCCTAGCCAAGAGTTATATTCAGATTGTTGAGAACTCAAAGGTGATTTTTTTAAATTATTTTTTGTCTTTCATTATTGTGCGTGCACCAGCAGCATCAGGGATTTCAGCAGAGCTCCTGGAATAAGGTCTGTTAGTTTACAGTAGCTGCAAAGCAAGCATAAGATCACACAAGCACTGAGCAGTTTGGTGTAGGTCCAACATTAAGAGTGTCTGCTATCATTTTGTGTGTTAGGCTATGTCTACACTGGGAAGGTTTGATGACTAAAGTGCTGTTGACATGCAAAAGTTACCAAAAGTGAAAGCCAGTCAAGGCAGTTTTTCTGCCTCCTATTGTCCTTATTTCATGGCCATATTGCTAGCACCCTGTCGACAGATAAAGCAAGCGTCCCACGGTGCAGTGTTGTGGGAAGGCAGAGCTGATTCCTGTACTTCTTGGGATTCCCTCATAATTCTATGAGTTCTCTGTGCTGAGTAATGTCAAAGCAGCACAGCAATTTCTCCAGCATTCCCCTTATAGTGGCAGTCTATCTGCTGCTGTGTTCCTAGTGCAGGGCAGAATAGGAGCATTCCAATTATTTGTTCTTTCTTTGTTCCCCAAACAGAGTAGCTAATTCAGCAGTCCGATACTTCCCTGAGCTTTGAAAGGGGAGAGGGCGCATACCTGCAAGGCAGCAGAGATCACAAAACATTGAGCACAATGAGGGCCAGGCATTGTGGGAACTGGTGGAAGCCAGTTCTCTAGACAAAACAAACAGCAGAGTCTGCACTGGCTCTATCTTAGCAATAAAGGGAGGGGAAAAGACAAAAGTCTGTCACAGGGATGGAAGTTTCTGTTGCCAAAACTGGGTTTTTTCCGAACAAAAGTCACATTTCAGTCTAAATGCTCTCAGACTATGTCTAGACTACAGGATTTTTTTTAAAAAAAAGTGGCCTTTTTTCAAAAAAACTTCACCTGCGTCTAGACTGCCGCCGCGTTCTTTCGAAATTAAATCGAAAGAACGCGGTGGTTTTTTCGACAGTGGTAAACCTCATTTTACGAGGAAGAACTCCTTTTTTCGAAAGAGCTCTTCTGAAAAATTGCATTCTTGACCACAAACAGGGCTTTTTCGAAAGAGAGTATCCAGATTGACTGCGTGCTCTTTTTCAACAAAGCAGATCACTTTTTCGAAAAAAGTTGTAGCTGACTAGACAATCTCTTTCAAAAGAAACGTGTAGTCTAGATGTACCCTCACTGTTTTATTGCCAAAAGGCTTGCTTGCTTGCTTTTTGTGTGTGCCTGTGACAGAATGTGCCCTTATTTTCTAAGTAGACAAGCCCTTGTTTTCTACGTGACACTGTGTTACTTTTAACTCTCATCCTTTAATACAATCCAGAAGATTCACTGTATTTTAAATCAAGATAAGTCCAGGGTTGAGGCTACATTACTTGAGAGTGATCTGTTTTGGAGTTAAAATGAAAGCTAGTAATCTAGTGGTTGTATGCTACACTGGTACACTTAGGCAAAGGAGCAGATTTCAGATCTAACCTGGTTTTACTATTCAACTCGTGGATAATCCATAAAGCCATGTATTGATAATAATTACAGAGAAAATTTTGTTTAACTTTGGACAGAGGATTACGATGAAGTAGGAGGTAGGAAGGGGAAATATGGATAAAATCCAGCATATAAAAGGACCTGTGGATAACGAATCTAGTTGCAGAATGTAAAGCCTGACCCAACAGTTTTGAAAAAAGTTTTGAACACTCCAAAAATCAGAAAAAATCCAAAGTTAAGGGTCTTGTGATAATATAATCCTGTCTTTCTATGGAAAAAATCTGATTGTGTATTACAATCTCCTATTAAAAACTCCTTACAAAATATGCTGAGAGAGAGAACACTTTCTGATTTTTATGGAACCCTGTTGGCTAAATGCCAATTAAACTCTGAAGGACTTTCATATGTGAATAAAGACCATATTTTCCAATTGCAATTTGAAAAGGAATTAATGCCAATAAATGTTAATAACTGGAGCTGAAATTTAGGCGAGAGACTTGGGTTAATGGTTTCATGAGGAAAAGTACCATGAATTTGTAGTGATTGCAAGTTACCAGGCTCTTTGGCTTTAAAAGTCTTTAGAAAGCCTGCACTTTGTAATAGTTCAGTGTTAATCATAGAATCATAGAATCATAGAATAATAGGACTGGAAGGGACCTCAAGAGGTCATCGAGTCCAGCCCCCCGCCCTCAAGGCAGGACCAAGCTCCTTATTAAGCTCCTTATTAAGCTTATTAAGTGTTGCTTAATAATAGTTCCATAGTCAAAAGTGGACTGTTTCTGAATATGAAAGTTGCCATTTTCATAGCAGATAGCCTTCCAGGGCTTTATATTGCATTATAGTATCATTGTAATAATAATAATACTCTATAATTGTTATATAAAGTTTGCATATTTCAGGAACAATGGGAAATATGGTGTTTATAAACAATTCAGTGATGCTAAGATTTAAGTCAAAATAATGCTATTAGGCTATGTTTACACTATAGCCTCTTGTGCAAAACATATGCAAATGAGGCGAAGCATGGAATATCACCGCTCCTCATTTGCATAATTAACGAGGCTCTGTTTTTGTGCAAGAGGCTTTTGCGCAAAACCCCCTCTTAAGAGTGCAAAAGCTGGTCTTCCTGAAAAAAATGTGGAAGAATGGCTCTTGCGCAAAAGCCTCTTGTGCAAAAACAGAGCCTCATTAATTATGCAAATGAGCGGCAATATTCCACACTTCGCCTCGTTTGCATATGGTTTTGTGCAAGAGGCTATAGTGTAGACATAGCCCTTGTGTCCAGACAACCTTATCAGCTTGACATGCTTTTTGAATAACATAAATTAGTGCCTTCTTGCCACTAACCTGTACAAAAGTTTGTTTTATTTATGAAGTATAATAAGGAGCTTTACTGTTTCATAAGTTAACTAAGCCCTGAGGCTAAAATGCAAAGTAGTTACATTTAGCTTTTCACTATTGTAATGGCAGTGGAGATGAGCCAGCATTCCGCCATATTCCTCTTGGCTGTGATTTCAGGGAAGATTTGGAGATTACTGGCTTTTACACAAGATGGACAGGCTGATGACTTACATTTATATAAATAATGACAATGCCACTGAACTCGGCTAGCTTTGGTACCCTACTTCCAACATTTGCTGCTCCCTAGATGAGAATAAGAAGGGGGAATGATAGAGTTGTCCTTGTGCCAGGCAAGGCAGGAGTAAATAATGTGTCTTGGTGCACATGCCGCTCCAATTAGAACAGTGTACAGCTCTTCTGTAAGCGCACAATAACTATGCAGATATTTCTAGGGAGCAGCTGGTCCAGTATCATCTGCCCAGAATGGAAGTTTTTCCTTCAGCATCCTAAGTTAGATATTGGTTCATTTCCCAAAGCAGGAGAGTTTATCTCCCATCCCATTCCTGTCAAGCAGTTCGTCCATTTTCAAGTTAGAATACAAATTAAAATTGCTACAGGAAGTCTGCAGTTTATATCAATAACTAGTTGGAGTTCAAGGCCTTCCTTCTCCTTCTCTCCCTCCCTCCCTCCAGTGTATACATACATGTATAATTATTTTAACATCAATAAATAAAGCAGCTATTTGTATTTATATAGTTACACATATGTACCCATCTCTAAAATGTTGGAGGGGGTAGTGGAAATATCTCAGTGAGATTCTAAGAAATGAGCCCTTTCTGGTTTCAACCATTTGTTAGCACTTTCAGGGCATGTCTACACTAGGAAATTATTTTGAAATAACTAAATTTGAAATAATAACTCCTGAAATAACAAAATTGAAATAGCATGTCCCCACTATGGAGGAGCCTCAAAATTAGTCCGAGGCAAGCTCTGTTATTGTAGATGTGCTACCTTGACTTAGAGCCCCAGGAAGCACTGGGGAGTAGTTACTTTGGATGACTTCTATTTCAAAATAGGAGCAGAGGAGGGTCCACAGTACTGCTATTTTAAAATAACTATTTCAAAATAAGCATTATTCCATGAGGAAAGCAGAAGTACTGATATCAAAATAACCAACCCATTATTTCAAAATAACGGGTTTAGTAGTGTGGACACACCACTTATTATTTCAAAAATAATTTTGAAATAACTCCCTTGTATAGACCAGGGCTCAGTGAAAAAATGTATTGTCATGAAAAATGCGAGAGTTCTGTAATGTCACCCTCATGAAACAAATGTGCATGCATGTAAACAAACAAACTCCTTCCTTTCCTTTCATGCTCTGCCATTTGCTGTTGTGAAGTGTGTCTACTTGATCATTGCTAAAGGTACACCTTGCTTTGTTTGCAGCCTTCTGCTTGGTGGACTTGGAGAAGCCTTGCTTGTTTATACAGAAAGGATGGATACATAACTCAAAACAGTGAGGATTCCAAACCCTCACCCACAATTAGAATAAACAGCTGACACCCAAAAAGCTCAAAATGAAAAAAAAAGAAGCTACAGCAGCAAGAATGGAAAAAAAATGTGATCAAACACCAGGTCCCTTCAGTCTACTTTTTTCTTCCAAGGGAACAACATGCTATTAATAGCACTGGTGAAGGAGAAGCATAGTTGGTCTGATGATTACGAGTGTTTGCCTCAAAAGTACAGGACGAGCTATTTCTGACAGACGCTGTGAAGGAAAAAACTGTATTGTGTCTGTAGACGGCTTAGTGTGAGAACCTTTTTCAGCAGCACCTTCTCACGCAAGGAACTGAACTTGTCTGCAGAAACAGGAAAAGTAATGTTCTTCTTTAGATGCCCCAGAGCTTTTGTTAGAAACAAAGAGTAGGTTACAAGAAACAATGTGAAAATCCAGGCACTGCCATGAATCAGATATCAGTGGGCATGGATTTTGTTTTAAGTTGTCCTGTAAAAGGCAAGTTTCCATATGTTAGTCTCTGGTCACGTTGTTTGGATTGGCACCGTGTGTGAGATCATGGGGCATCTAGAGATAATTCCTTGCTGACTGGGAAATCAACAAATAAATCTTACTATATATTGTACTGACTCTATTTGTGTGTATTTTTTCCTCCTTATCAAAGGTTTCTCTTGATCATTGTACATTTTTTCAGGGAGGGCTTTGTTTTGGTACTGTTTGCTAGCAGTAGATTGTCTATGTTATCTTGAGAGGAAGCAGAGATTGATTCAAGGTTTATAATGTCATGAGGAGTGGGAAGAAATTAATTCCAAAAAGCCTTGAAATAATTTCATTCCTGTTACTTTAAATTTTCACATCTCTAGATGGTAAATGTAGGATGAGATTTTTAAACATCTCTAAAGATTAGATCCACAAAAGGGACTTAGGCATCTAATGTGTCATTTCAGTAGCTTAAGTCCAACATTTAGGCACCCCTGAGATCCTCCAAACTCTTGCTTAATTGCCATCTAAATTTCCTAGGTGCCTAATTTTTGCTGCCAAAGTCTCCCAGGTGCTTACGTTTCTGCTGGAGGGAATGTGCAAAATAGCCCAAGTCATGAGAGTGTAAAGTGTATCTTAGCAGTTCTAGCTCACACCTAAGGTCTTGTCTCCACTTACCAGAGGATTGATGCTCTGACAATAAATCTTTCGGGGTTTGATTTAGCAGTCAAAAGTTTACTGAGAGCACCTGCATTGACTATGGTACCCTTAGCTGTTCCAAAGAGTAAGGAAGGTTGATGGGACAGTTTCTCCTGTCAACATTCCACTGTGGGGCCACCTCAGAAAATCAATGCAAGGTATGTTGACTTGAGCTACGCAAATCACAGTTGGAACTGTGTATCTTGCATTGATTTTCTCTGCCAGTGGAGAGTTGGCCTAAGTGTCAGTGAGATTCCCAAACTACACATTCCCCTGCCTATTTTGTTTGCTAGGCCCAATCTGGTAGGAGTGTTAGAGTACGCCTACCAGATGGGACCTCACACAAAAGGCAGCCAAAAGTGACCAGAGAGGTAATTTTCCAGGGTTGAGGGGTAGGATATACATCTCAAAATACCCCCTAATGAGGACACTCATGTGCATTGTGAGAAGCCTGCCTTTGAATCCTTGTTCTGTCTGATTGGGAGCAGGGCCTTGAACTTGGATCTCCCACCTGTGTGTCCAACCACCAGAGTACTGGGGCATTCTGAGGTAGTATGTTCCCCTGTTGAAGCCATTCTATTTTGTAATGAATAAATATTCATTGGGATACAGGAAGTGCCATCCCTTGGGGAGTGTCGTGCCCAGGACACTCTCCACTCAACTCCAGGCCCCGCCCCACCTCTTCCCACCCCTGCTCCACTCCCTCCCCCACATGATGTGGCCCAGGGACTAGCAGAGAGCCTGACACCAGCAGCAGGAGTGGGGCCAGCCCCCACACTTACCAGCAGAGCAGAGGGAATGGAATGGGCTGGGAATGGGTTGTTCTGCTTCCTGCTGCTGGTGAGTGTAGGAGCGGGTCTGACCCCTGCTGTCAGCGCCAGGCCTCCTGCTAGTCCCCCTGGCCATGCTCCTGGGATGCGGGAGACCCAGATTTAATTATTTATACAAGGTGGAACAGCTCCAAGAGAAGAAACTGATAAAGAATTAAGTGCATCATATTTATGCCATGCAACAGGGGCCTCCAGAAAATAAATCTTACCAAACAAACTTGGGTTTTTTGGATGAAGTTATCTGTGGCTGAGAGAGGTAACGGTGTTCCTGTAATAAACTTTTAGAAGGTGGTGAATCTGAGGAACTGTCCCAGATTGAAGTGTCATTAGAGGAGGTTTTGGAACAAATAGAAAAACTTAATGTTAACAAATCTCTGGGACCGGATGGCATTCATCCAAGAGTTCTAAAAGAACTCAAATGGGAAATTGCTGAGCTATTATCTGTAGTTTGTAACCTATCCTTTAAATCGGCTTCCGTACCTAATGACTGGAAGGTATCCAACGTGACACCAATATTTAAAAAGGGCTCTAGAAGCGATCCTGGCAATTACAGACTGGTAAGTCTAACTTCAGTACTGGGCAAATTAGTCGAAACAATAGTAAAGAATAAAATTGTGAAGCATGTAGAAGAACATAATTTGTTGGACAAAAGTCAACATGGTTTCTATAAAGGGAAATCCTGTCTTACTAATCTATTAGAGTTCTTTGAAGGGGTTAACAAACATGTGGACAAGGGGGATCCAGTAGATATAGTATACTTGGATTTTCAGCCCCTGTATAGAACTATGGTACGCCCACATCTTGAATACTGTGTGCAGATGTGGTCTCCTCACTTCAAAAAAGATATTTTGGCCTTGGAAAGGGTTCAGAAAAGGGCAACTAAAATGATTAGGGGTTTGGAACGGGTCCCATATGAGGAGAGGTTAAAGCGACTGGGACTTTTCAGTTTAGAAAAAAGGAGACTGAGGGGGGATATGATAGAGGTCTATAAAATCATGAGTGGTCTGGAGAGGGCCGATAAAGAAAAGTTATTTATTAGTTCCCTAAATAAAAGAACTAGAGGTCACCAAATGAAATTAATGGGTAGCAGGTTAAAAACGAATAAAAGAAAGTTCTTCTTCACACAGCGTGTAGTCAACCTGTGGAACTACTTGCCAGAGGAGGCTGTGAAGGCTAGGACTATAACAGAGTTTAAAGAGAAGCTAGATAATTTCATGGAGGTTAGGACCATAAAAGGCTATTAGCCAGGGGATAAAATTGTGTCCTTAGCCTCTGTTTGTCAGAGGCTGGAGAGGGATGGCAGGAGACAAATCACTCGATCATTGTCTTCGGTCCACCCTCTCTGGGGCACCTGATGCTGGCCACTGTCGGCCACTGTCGGCAGACAGGATACTGGGCTAGAAGGACCTTTGGTCTGACCCAGTACGGCCGTTCTTATGTTCCTATGTTCTTATATGTAAGGTATATTGACTTGCTACTGTGTGACATTTTGGTTAGGAAACTGGAGCGATACAAAATCAACATGAAATGGATTGCAAACTGGCCTGTGCTTTTCAAGAGGTCTGACTGGATCCTATGGGTCCTTCTGGCCTTGGGATCAATGAATCTTGAGGTAGTGCAGACTGTCCAGCCCCCAGAAGCAGCTTCGTGAGGCACTGAGCTCCTGGAGAATGCAGATTCTGCCCCATCTGTTTGGTTCTCTGCTGTAAGACTGGTCAGCTCTGCCAGCCAGGGGAAAGGGGACAATGGCGCCAGTGCCAAGCCTCTTCCTTGCTCCTTGTGCAAAGGCTGGTGCTGCAGCTGGTTGGCAGGGAGAGCACAGGGATTGCAGTTGTGGCTGGACCCTCCTATGAGTCATGGCTTCTTAGGCACATCTCCTCTTGTACAGATGTCAAGGGCCAGCTATAGTCTGGACCTTTCCTGTGTTTCCCCTAATCACTCTAGTTTTTACACACTATAAAAAGTGCCTTGTCTGAAAGGAGCTATTCACCTCAGTCACCTTCTCAATTGACAAGGGTCTGCCAAGAAACACCCAATGTAACTCTACCCTTGTTGGCAGAAGCCAAGGGTTGAGACCGCATGGAGACTAACCTAGTCCTCTGAGGTTGCCTTGAAGTCCTGTGGGCTGGGCAGATGGAGGAAGCTTGCTTTGCCAGAGACCAGGTCGCACAGGCAGTGTGGTAGGCTTCAGCCTTTAGGGCCATTGAACTGGAGTCTTCATCAGTATGAAACCCATTTGGTTCTTATTTTTTGTTCTTTACATTTAACAAGCTGGGTTGGTTATTTTCACTTGGGTTTAATCGCTTTCCTTTCCCTTTGCTAGCACCATGCTGCTGTGTTTGTATTTCCAATATCACATGGGAATGGCAACCAACACCCCCACCCCCTCCCCAACTGGTACTTCATAGTAATGTTTGGCTCTGCTGTGCCAAGGAGTGTAAACAGGACACTCCACAGATCGGCTGCTTTTGGATGAAACTGGCCTCTGTGCCGATGGCCAGCACAAGGCCTTATATGTCATTAAAATAGGCTCAAGTGGAACTCCAGAGCTGCACAGGGCTGAATGTCAACCTTTGTGTATTCAGAATCACATTGGCTCACTTTAGTGACTAATTAAAATTGCTCTGCAGGGTCAAGAGGGAGAGCTGGACTCAGTCCCTTCTCCTGCAGCAATAGAATTGTTTGCTAAGTTCCAATCACTTACACCTGTGCCAGCTGGCGGAAAGGGGTGTTGCACATGTGTCACTGACCAATGAGCTAATTTGGCCAGCACTCTCCAGGCTGCTGCTGAGGAGAGACCCCAGAGTTAAATGTGCAGCAAAACCAAGTAACTTTTTACTTCCTAAAAGTGGTAAATTTCAGTCTGGGACCAATTAGATTCAATAGACATGAAACCCTAAGATGGCATTTTATGGGAAAACTTCAAAGTAGACCCACAACAGGTCTAATTGCAGCAGATGTCCCCCCGGCCTGACACTAAGGATGAGGGGGACAAAAGTGTGTTTTCCTTCCCATCTTCCAGCTGGTGCAAGAAGAGAATGAACTGGAAACAGTTCCCAGCAGTGCTGTGTGCGTGTAGCTATCACAGTGGCTTCAGTTCTCCCTGCCACATTTTTCTGGGGAATGTCTAACCACAGCTAAGGGACATTCAGAGCACCTGCTGAAAAGCAGACAGCACTGGAGGGAGCAAGAAGGAAGAACACTTGAGCTTTGTGTCTGCTGGTTGCAGAACAAGCAGGATATCTTTCTCTGAGAAGGGATAGAAAGGAAATACCCACTGCTGGCTTCTATGGAAGAAGGCAGGTACTGCTGGGGAAGGGAAAAGACAGCCCCAGTCAGGGAGAGTGAGCCTGAGTATCATCTAGAACTGTGGTTCTCAACTGGTGGTCCCCTGGTTACTTTTTCGGTGGTCCACAGGAACATTGTCCAAAGTCACACGGCGTGGGCAGGCACCAAAAATCTGTTAGTGAGAAATAAATTTCAAACCAAAATGTTCGTTGTCTGCTCTTTTTTACCATGTCTCAAAAAGGAGGTGATCCATGAAAATTTTGTGATTGGCCTGATGGTCCGTGGACTGAAGAGAGTTGAGAACCACTGATGTAGAACTAAGAGCACTGGAAA